GATATATGTAACTCTATGTTTATTGCAAGATTATTTACAATTATCCAAGATACAGAAGCAACCAATTTTCCATCAATAGATGAATGAGTAAAGATGCAATGAATATATACACATATACACATACACACGTACATACGTACAATGGCATATCAGTCAATAATAAAAAGAAGAGTGAGATTTTGCCATTTGCAACAATATGGATGGACCTACAGGGTGGTACACTAAGTGAAGTAAGTCAGACAGAGAAAGACAAATGCCATATCATTTCACTTATATATGGAATCTAGAAAACAGAAAGAAAAGAAAAAACAAACGAACTCTAAAATATAGAGAACAAACTGATGGTGGCCAGAGGGGAGAAGGGAGGTGGGGGGGAATAGGTGAAATAGATAAAGGGGATTAAGAGGTACAAACTTTCAGTTATAAAATAAATAAGTCATGAAAATGAAAAGTACAGCATTGGGAATACAGTCAATATTATAATAACGTTGTTGGGTGACAGACGGTGACTGCACTTACTGTGTAATGTATAGAACTGTTTAATCAACATGTTGTAAACCTGAAACTAACGACACTGTATGTTAATTGTACTTCAATTAAAAAATGACAGAGAAGACAGAATGAATTTAAAAAACATAATCTACCTATATGCCGTCTAGAAGACTGTCTTTGGATCAAAAGATACAAATAGGTTATACAGAGAAGTCCTAAAACTCAATAAAACAAAACAAAACAAATTCAAAAATGGGTAAAGGATCTGGATAGACATTTCTTCAAAGAAGATACACAAATGGACAATGAACACATGAAAAAATGTTCAACATCACTAATCATGAAAGAAATAAAAATTTTAACTTACTCATCAGTATGGAAAAATGTTCAAAGATCGCAAATATATGGCCACCCAGAACTTCATCTCTTTTAAGCATTTGATTATAAGTATCCAATGGTGATATTCTCTGTATCTCTACTGCCCCATCATGCCATGGACTATCCACTCTCCATCCTCTCTTTACTGTTGTGAGCGGAGTCAGTAGTGTCTTTAAAGCTAATCAGATTGAGGAACCAGGAATCAAGGGGTGGAAGTTGGGGTGGGACCATTCAATATGACTCATAGTGACTCACTAGCAAAATTTGGGCTTCCTGTCCTCACAGCTGTATGCTCTACTACCCTAAATGTCTTAGTTCCAAAGGGAGGAACACTTCCACCAGAAGACAAAGTAACAACCCCACTGACCTGAAAGTAACTGCCTCCCGGCCACTGTGGGTTCCTCTAAATCAACAGGCCAAGATGTGTTTTGGCATTAGCTGGGATGACTGAGGGGAAATTGGGACTGCTACTCTACTACAGAGGTAAAGAAGAATACATCTGGAATACTGGAGCTCCCTTAGGACATCCCTTACTACCACTGCCCAGCCACTGAACACAATGGGAAATTACCAGAACCCAGTTCAGGCAGGGCTATTAATGGCCAGATCCGGAATTAAGGTATGGGTCATCCCACCAGGTAAAGAACAAAACCAACTGAGATTCTTGCTCAGCACAAAGGGAATATAGAATGAGAAGCAGAAGAATGCAGCTGTAACTCCAGCTACAGCCACATGACCGGTTTACACAAGCCAAGACTATAATGCCATGAATATAACGTTCTTATTTTGCTCTGAATGTGTGCATGTGTGTGTGCGTGTGCATGTGTGTGTGTGTGGCTAGTAAATATCTGTTTTCTTCTCTCTTATCACCTTACATAAGATTTGTATCATTGTACTTAAGTATTTTTAACTTTATATTATAGTATTTAAGTTAAAGGATATCAAGAAGAGTAAATTACCCAGGGACTTTGTATACTCTTCTAGGAAAATGCTTAGAATGTTTTGGTTGTGAAAAATAGTTGATCATGATGCTAGGCAGAAGCAAGACCTTCTTATTTATTAGAGACTCAGAATGGCTTAAGGAATGCCAAGTTGGGGGCGCCGGGTGGCTCAGTGGGTTAAGCCTCTGCCTTCAGCTCAGGTCATGATCTCAGGGTCCTGGGATCGAGCCCCGCATCGAGCTCTCTGCTCAGCAGGGAGCCTGCTTCCTCCTCTCTCTCTGCCTGCTTCTCTGCCTATTTGTGATCTGTCAAATAAATAAATAAAATCTTTAAAAAAAAATGTAATGCCAAGTTGGCAGGATGGACTGTGATTATTAATTTTATACATTAACTTCAGGTCAGACATTACTCCAAATAATTCTGTGAAGTTATCTTTTAGATGACATTAACATTTAAGTCAGAAGACTGAGTAAAGCAGATTGTCCTCCCTGATATGGGTGGGTCTCATCCAATCAGCTAAAAGTTTTTAACAGAAAACAAAACAAAACTAACCTCCCTTGAAGAGCACTCTCCACCAGCAGACTGCTCTTGGACTCAAACTACAACAACAACCCTTCCCTTTCTTTTCAGCCTATTCTGGAGATTTTGAACTCAACCATGCCTCCAATCACATGAACCAATTCCTTAAAAAAATCTCTCTCTCTCTCTCTCTCTCTACACACACACACACACACACACACACACACACAAATTGGTTCTGTTTCACTGGAGAACACTAATATAGCCATATTTTTAAATAGTAATAAAATAGACTCCTTTTTTTCAAAAGACTTTATTTATTTGACAGTGAGAGAGCACAAGCATGGGGAGTGGAGAGGGAGAAGCAGGCTCCCCACTGAGCAGGGAGCCCGATGTAGGGCTTAATCTTAGGACCCTGGGATCATGACCTGAGTTGCAGGCAGACGCTTAACCAGATGCCCCTAGACTCCTTTCAAAAAAGACTGGTGGGTACCAGAGAAAATACTGAAATAGTCGACCACCAATGATCCATACAATTACAAGGGCGAGGCATCACACAGGAGAAGGCCATTAGCGCTCAGCTCCAGTGCTACAGTTAACATCCATTCTGACCAATTATTATACTCGGGGTTTTTAGTATCACTCTTTCTCACACTATAAATATAAATTCCAAGTAACCTCAATGTTCAAGTCAAAGCTATGAAACTTAACGGGGAAAAAAAAAGACAATTTCATAACGTCAGAGAAGGGGAGCAAATCCTTAAATATGACAGAAAAACTACAAGCTAAGGGCACCAGGGTGGCTCAGCGGGTTAAGCATCTGCCTTCGGCTCAGGTCATGATCCCAGAGATGGAGCCCCACAAGCCTGCTTCCCGCTGCTTGTGCCTGCTCTCTCTCTCTCCCCCTCTCTCTTCCTATATCAAATAAATAAATAAAATCTTAAAAAAAAACACTACAAGCTAGGTTTCTGCATACATAGAACCACACAAAATACATAAAATAAAGAACAAAATAAATGAAGCCTGTACAATGAGAGCAGCATAAAGTGAGTGTAGCAACATGCCACAATGTGGGAGATACAAAAACAATACAGGGCTAGACGCAACATGAAAGAACATCTAAAATATGTAAAGCAGTCCCACGAATGAATAAGAAAAATACAAGCAAATCTATAAAACAAAATGAGCAAAGGACCTGATCTAGATTTAAAACAGAAATCTCAAGTGCCCAACATTTGAAAAGATGTTCAACTGCATTAAAAATCAAGAGACTGCAAATTAAAATACAGTGAGAGAGACTTACATCTCCATCAGATGGGTAAAAATTAACAAGTATCAAACAACCAAAAGTTGGCAAGGATGAAGAATAGCAACTCTCATTTACTGTTTAGGGGAGTATAAATTTGTAAATCATTTTTAAAAATAGTTTGGCTTTACTCAGTAAAGCTGGACCTGTGCATCTGCTATCACCTTGAAATTCTACCCCTAGGTATACACCATGAGACACTCCTGAGTATATACACCAGGCTATGTATATAATAGTGTTCCAAAAGGCCAAAACTGATGACCCAAATTTCCAACAAACAAACAAAAAAAGAATGGATAAATTACTTGTGTCAAATGTTCACTATAGATTAACATATAGCAACAAACTGAACCAACTGTAAGTGCAGACATCTACAGGGACCAGTTTCACGACGCTGAATGAAAGAAGAAAGAATACACACAGCAATGAAGCCTACCCAGGTTTGAGAGTTCAACCTACCCACAGTGCCCCTGGTCCTTCTTATCATGTCCTACCTTCTTACCATAGATCTTATCTTCTTGGCCATCCTCTGTGTTCTTTAAGAATCTTTGGTTTTGGTTTAGTGTTTTTAGTGTTGCTCACTAATACAACCAAAGCACCTACAACAGTGCCTGGTATAATACAGTACTTAGTATAGGTATAATTTAGTACTCAGTAAGTATTTGCTGAATGGACTAGAATAATTCCAATTATTTAAGTTCAAGAACAGGCAAACTAAATGCCATATTGAATAGGGATATAGATAGTAAAACTATAAAAAATTAGAATGAATACTATAAAAGTCATGGTATAAGTAATCTTTAGGGTAGAGAAGGCAAATGCAACGGAGGAAGAACACCCAGGAAATTTCTATCTCTTAGCCCGGGGTTTAAAATGTACACATGTATGTATAATAATATATATATGTATATATTTTATAAGCATATATATATTTATACACATACTATACCTCACAATAAGAAAAAATATTGAGAAAACCTCCATTCGTACATCTCCCCTATGCTACACCACTTCACTCTGATTTAACCATCATTACTCTGACCCAACCTAAGAGTCAGGTAAGAACTAGAATGCTTCATGCTAGAAAACAATAGCAAACTTTGTCTAGGAATCTAATAGGAATGCTGAGATTTATCCTGATCCTATTATACTATTTCCACTTGAATTAGGAGTCCTCACACATCAAGTATTAGTCAACAGAAAAAAATAAAAGTTTTCACATCCACCAACAAGACATCAATTGAAAAAAAAGTACTTCTAAATGTTACCTCTCAGATAACATAGATTTAAGAGGAAGACATACAGAAAAGAACAGAGATATAGATATATCTTAATCCAGTATGTAGGAAATATTTCAAATATACCTGTACGCTGCCAAACTCAACGTTCTCATAATGGAAATGTGCACATTCAGCCATCTTCGGAAAGTGACCTTTAGTGAAGGGTAACCTGAAGTACATGAAATAGCTAAGTGAGATGCGAGATACTGGAACAGTCAAAATTACTAAGCCTAAGGAAAAAATAAAATGGGTTGGAGAGCTCATGCAAGCAAAACTATTTAATAAGCACATGCGCATGAGCACACACGTATCCACGCAAAGTTTTCCAGAAATACAGTGAATCAAATGAAAATTACATTTAGAGCGCAGGTCAAAACCAAAATGAATTAAAAAAATAAATAAAAATAAAAAGCATCACTACACTCTCCTATCCTTCACTCAAGGCAAGGCCCATAGAAAATTTCAGTGAATGTTAGGAAAACTGTGAAGAGCCAACTGTGAATCAGAAGCAGCATTCCCAACAAAATAGAAAACCAGATTTTACCTGTGAATGTTGTCGCAGCCCATCAGTCCTGGATTAGTGGGTCTGGATGCAGAATGAATATTTTTATCTTTGTCTTTTCTCTATTTACAATGAAAACATAGCTGCCTAACCCTCTGCCAGGTGAAAAGATGGCTTTTCTGGTTTTGTTTTTTAATACCAACTTAATGGGATGGTGGGGGGTGGGGGTAATTAAGGCTTCAGTTGGAAAGTATGGAATGGTTTTTCTGTTGGAAACTGAAATGGAATACCTTCAGATATTTTATATAGGAATCAACTACTAGCATCCAATTCAGGTTTTCTCAAAGGCAGAGCTGAGATATAGCAATCCCATAACTCAAACAACAGGCTGATTTTTCTAAATGAGTGAGAGCGTGTATTAAGGGCACCAAGACAGACACACTTGGATTGCTCCGGTTGAACAAACACACTCTAACAGCCAATGACATAAAGTTGTCACAAGAACAAAATTAAAGTATATTTTTAGACAAGCAGATAATCTTCCGATCGATTCCACTAATTGTTAAGTCGTAATTTAGGCTTACAGTATAATTTAATGTATGGACAGTAAAAGCATATTTAGTAAGAAATCTAAAGAAAAGTTTTAAGAGAACTAAAAAACTGATTCCCATTTTAAAAATTCACTTAAAACCCATGATACAATTCCACTTACTTTTTCACATGTTTAACCTTCATACTGGCTGTACTGCCACATGTCTTAAGACTAAGATCTCCAGGGATCTCTGGAACATCAGCTCCTCTTGCCTTAAAAAAATAAAAACAAAAGATTTAGGACGATTCCCTTAGTATAAATCAGTTTTAAAAAGCAGATTATAATTTTAATGGTTCTGCTACCTGTACCAACAGCAATACATACTAATAATCTCTTCTTAAAACTATAACTTACTTGAGTCTTGATTTACTAAGAATAAGGAAAAAATATTCACCTACTTCAAATACTTAACTGCATAAGAAAAAGTTTTCTGTGAAATATGAATTATTATACTCTTATAATCAAGTTTCAAAATCAGCTGTTATATTATCTGCCTCAACAAAAACTAAAATCTCCCCCAGGGAACTAGAAAAAATAACCTTGGTTACAGTGATTAATAAAAGTTAAAATGGCATTATGAACATAATTAGAAGATCACAACATGCATTTCTCACACCAAAATACAGGTGACATCTGTTTCTAGCTTACTCTTTTGTCTGCCACAGTTTTCAGATATGATTTTTTAATTCTAGTGACACATTTCAGCTGCATGATTTTAAAAACAAACTGAGGATGAGAAGGGTCTTCATATTCTGCACAAAATAAACAGCAAATCCAATTATCTATCGTAAAAAAAAAATTTACAATATATTACCTATGGTTTGTAACAGAAAAACTGAGTTATTACAGCCAATGCCACAGAGTGCAATAGGGAAGAAAATACAGGATGAGAAGTTAAAATGACTTAAGAGGAGATTCACAAGGATGTATATATAATAGAATACTACTCAGCCATAAAAAAGAATGAAATCCTTCCATTGGCAACAACATGGATGGATCTTGATGGGCATTATATTAAGTGAAATAAGTCAGAAAGAGAAAGACAAATACAAATGATCTCACTTATATGTAAAATCTAAAAAACAAAACAAACTCAAAAAACAAAAACAAACAAAAAAACCAATCTCATAGATACAGAGAACAGATTGGCCGTTTGGGGTGCAGGGGTAAGGGATAAACTCTAACTCTAGACTCTTAAAAAAAAATGCGGTGAAATTGATCATGTAAATGATAATTCAGGTTGATAATATCCTAGACGAATACTGTACAACTTAAAAATTATGATAAACAATATATTTTTAACGACAAAATGAAAATATTTTCCACTAGTCATTCATTCAACTGAAAAGACTTTATCACACAACATTTTGCAACAACTTAGATCATCTTAATTTGCTAAAATAGTATGTAACAATATTCTCTCGATTTTTACAAAATTTGTGTACCAAAATTTACCTGACATAAAGAAGTTTGCTGTGCTTAAATTGCCATTAAAATTTCTAATAAAGTGGGTTTTCATTATTTATTCTGTAAATTATTCATATATTGACTTAAAAAGGGTTATAGCACACAGACACACAGCAGAAGAAAAGACCAGTGAACTTAAGAAGCAGCAAGAAAACAACGCACAAAAAATTGTTTGTTTTTTAGTTTTTGTGTGTGAAAGAAAAAGACCATAAAAAAAAGTCTCACTGACATATGCAACAACATAAAGCCATTTAACATACATGTAACTGGAAAAAACCAAAACCGTACATGTCACTGAAGGCAAAAAAAAAAAAAAAAGGAGAGGAAAATGCCCTCTCTGGGGATGGTAAGAGGGGGATTAAGAAGAAGAGGAATAGAAAAAACGGATTAAAAATTTACAAATTTTATGATGATTATGAACACAATGATCCAGAAAACTTCATAAATACAAAGTCTGATAAACACTTAGGAAATCACACAGGGCCTATCACAATCAGATGGCTAAAAAGCACTGATAAAGAGAAAATCTTAATAGCTGTCAAAGGGGGAAAAAAAGAATATACATTACATTCACAGGAATAAATAGAATAAAAGCAGAACATTCGGACTAAGTACTTTTAGTTGCTTTTTTAAATAAATGTCAACACAGAATTCTATATCCATCAAAATTTATTTCAATAAAAGAATATGAAGTTTCCAGCCTCTTCCTCTCTTTATAATAAAAATTCTGGAGATAACAAAATGAGATAAAATATAAACATGCAACTACTTTAGAGCTCTAGAAAATTTAACGAGGCAGGTAGATTGGAAGCACGCTCGAAAGTTGAAGAGTGATTAATACAGTGGCAGTGTGCTCCCATTTTCCCCAACTCTGTTACCTCCTGGATTGACCCAAGGACAGGCTGAATCAAGATGTAAGTAACAGGTAGGGTCAGCAAAACTCTCAGGGCAATCCAACTTTCTAGCCAAAGGACTTGAAAACTGCCCCTTGAATGTGGAGGAAAGAGCCAAGAGATTTTTTTTTCCCTCATTGATCTCTTCCAAACTGGTCCAAGAACAGACCTGACACCATTTCAGCTGTAGCATGGGCACATAAGATCCTAAGTGAAAACCCATTCTTCTGAATAGAAAAACAATTTAAAAAGGACCCTGTTATATAAAGATTGTAGAGATAGTTTCCTATTTTTTTATTTTTTTCCTCACTACTTAGACCTACCAGTAGCCCAGTCGGGAAAAAATATGTGCAATACCAGAGGCTAAAACTCAGAGAACACCACCCTTCCAGTCCCAGAAACCAGGAAAAGCATCCTTTCAGAGCACTGTGTGTAAAATCCCTAAGAAAAATAAGATGTAGCAAAGGCTGTAAAACTGAACTGATGCTAAAACTACCACCTAAGGAAGTCCAGAAAGAAAGTCCAATCTGAACCCAACTAGGCTGATGCCTGACGGGACCAAAAAAAAAGTCAACATTCTCTAGAGGATGTTAGTGGAGCCAGTCTCACAAAACAACATTCAAAATGTCCCTGATGTAATACAAAATTACTAGATACACCAAAACCAGTAAAATATGGGCAATTCCCAAGGGAAAAGACAATCAAGAAATGCCAACTGTGAAATGAAACTGATGCTGGAACATATAGAGAATAAACACGTGCATTAGATATTGAAACCAACGGAAAGACAAAAATTCCTCGAGGAAAACCATAAACCACACTAAAAGATCAAATAAGAATTTCAAAACTGAAAAATATAATATCTAAAATAAAAAACTCTGACTTGACTCAAGAGCAGAATGGAAATAAAAGAGGAAAAGAGTCAGTGGAACCTAACAGACAAAAAAAAACTATGCTCTGAGGAGCATATACTTAAAATGTTTTAAAAGACTGAAAAATATGAACAGACCCATAGATACTTACTGAGAAGAAACAACTGTTACAGAAAAGAAAAAACCTATTTGAACTAATAACTCTCCTTCATGAAAATACAACAAATATGTTGAAGGATACATGTTTACAGATTCAAGATCAGCAAATATTAAAAAAAAAAAACCAAACCACAAAACAACACATAATCAAGCTGTTTACAACCAATATAAAAGAAGTATCCTGAGAGCTACCAGAGAAAAAAAGAACTATTACATATAAAGTGGTAAGAATTGAAATGACTGGATTTCTCATTAGAAACCAAGAAGACCAAAAGACAGTGGAACAACATTTATAAAACGCTGAAAGAACTCTCAACACAGAAAAACTACATCAAATGAAAATATCCTTCAGAAAGGACATAAAAATAAGGTCATAGTTAGATTTTTAAAAATTAAGAGAATCTGTTACCAGTAGAGGGGCTCTAAAAGAAATGCCAAAGAAAACTCTTCGTGTAGAAGGAAAAATGATATCAGAGTAAAACATGGGTCTTCTCATACAAAGGAAGAGCAATAGAAATAATAAATGAGTAGGTAAATGTAAGAGATTGTTAATCTCCTCTTAAATTCTTTAAAATATACATGCCAGTTGAAAGCAAAAATTGCAATACTGATCAATGAATGCAGATGTAATGCTTATAAAAACTGTAATATTAATGGAGAAAGATAAAGGGACCTACATGGTGGCAAGGTTTCTACATTCTGCTTGAGTGTAAAACAGTAATTGTAAATAGACTATAAAAAGTTCGTTAAATGAGGGGCACCTGGGTGGCTCAGGCATTAAGCATCTGCCTTGGGGTCAGGTCATGATCCCAGGGTCTTGGGTTTGAGGCCTGTATCGGGCTCTCTGCTCAGCGGGGAGTCTGCTTCCCCCTCTCTCTCTCTTTGCCTGCATCTCTGCCTACTTGTGATCTCTCTCTCTCAAATAAATAAATAAAATATATTTTTTTTTAATTTAGGAAAAGGAGACCAATAATAGATTAAAAAGAAAACACCATAATGAGGCAGATCCCAGGAATGCAAGACTGGTTTAACACCTGGAAAGAAACCCAATGTTTTGGGTTTGAATTTATTTCAGGAATACAAGAATGGTTTAATAACAGAAAATCTATTATTATAATTATTTCAAATGGTAGTAATGCAAAGCAACAGACCTCAAATAGGATATATCCTCCTAGAGATAAAGGGAACAACATTTCACGAATACTTGCATTATTATTTGGAAACTATTAAAAGTAGAAGATGAAAGCATATAACTAATTGCTAATGTCATTAAAAACTAAGGTTTTTCAGCATAAGAGATACAAACATAAATCAAAGAAGTTACATAGAAGCCCTTATCATTTCCTTTTTTTTGGTGGTGGGGTGTTTTGACTAAGGCTGCTAGAATGATGGAACAGGCAAATGCAGAAGGTACACTGAGGGGCACCTGGGTGGCTCAGTGGGTTAAAGGCTCTGCCTTTGGCTCAGGTTATGCTCCCAGGGTCCTGGGATCCAGCCCTACATCGGGATCTCTGCCCAGCAGGAAGCCTGTTTCTCTCTCTCTCTGCCTGCCTCTCTGCCTACTTATGATCTCTGTCTGTCAAATAAATAAATAAAACCTTTAAAAAAAAAAAAAAGTACACTGAACCTTAACTACAGCCAGCATATAGCCGAGTCTTCTGTGATATACCCGTGGATAGATTTTAAAATGGTAATTCAATATTAACACAGTTAGACATTTGGAGCTGATTCAAAACTCAAAAAATGTTAAATGTCAATTATATGGCAAATCCCTATGCGACAGGAAGGAGGCAACAGATAAAGGACTCTTTTATTCCTAGA